TCACGGTATCCTAACCAGAGCACTTATATATTATAAAATACAGCTGTGCCATTGCAGCGCGCGCGCCCCTAGCACGTTATTAATATGCCAGCCACGTATCCGCGGCCGTGTCAGCTCGCTGCTTATTCATCTCACCGGCTCTCCTGACGCAATCATTATACACGTACGACAGCGACTCTGTGTGTATGCAGGCATTGACGGACGTTTCACACGTCTCCTGTCACCCCGCACGTGTCTCTATTTGCTACCGTGTATCCCCCACCGCATATCTGTTTGAGAGAATTTTATGCGCCCGTTTTGAGATTGTTAAACTGTTTTGACGTCATGCTGCCGATAGGGGTTTATTTTCGCATCAAAACTTATGCATATATCATTATCAAGAGTATATACTGGGAGATATGCTATATAATGGGAGTTCTCCCATATATACTCTTGCTTTATATATCTCCCTCCCTCTTCTATCACGCCCAAGGTGAGCTACAGTGTCATTGACACTTTCATTTTGTATATTCTTGATTATATTATGTGCTTCTCAATTTCCCTTTATTTTAGGTAATTTTAGACGTGATATTTATTATTCACGCAGCACAGCAAAATACATGCTGTAAAAAAATGAATGCAACGCCGAAAAATTGGCGATGATCTTGTGGAAAAATCCTCAAGACATTGATTATCAGAAAATTTGCGAACTTCGTCCACCCAGCCGACCCGACACCCACTCGTTGGTGCGTCATCGTCAGACACTTACTGTATGTTTTGCGTCGCCTGGCCGAGTCAGTAATTTCTGTCATTTCTCCGCCGATCGTGAGTAAAGGGGTAACTTAATACCCTGTTTTCGTCAGGTCTTTGTCACGTTCGTGGCCCTAGGGTGAATGCGAATTTCGCGCTCCAGGGTAGCAACTTTCTTTGTCTATTCCCCACCCCACCCCCACACACACAAGCTCACCGGTTACCTGTTAGTGCAGATTTCCGTTGAGAAACCCCCCGCAGATATTTTTCGCTAATTGACTTGAATGACTCAACGATGTAAACGTGTGTTACTCGATGTGATGACTCGATCCTCGCATTAACGCGTCCTTGTTACCCCCCACCCCACCACCACCCTCCACCCGTCAGCTGCTGCTGCGGCTGCTGCTGCTGTGATTTCTATTTACTTGACTGTCACCAGTGCTAGGAACTCGCACCTATCCCCTTCATCGTCATCATGAATAACTGGCTGAATTTTATTCTTATTTTTTTTTTACTTTCCGATTCTCACCGTTACGAACGAAATTGCATTTCTGGAACTTCCGTTCGGGAAAAGTGCCCACATCCGGTAGCGTTAAACTCTCTGATGTCATCACATGACGGGTTAAAAACTACACCTATACACCTATAGAAAGCTATAAGGCTGTTTTTGAATTGTTCACAAACACAGGGTTTGTAGTGTGTCGGGAACTTCAGACGTCGGCACCGCAGCCCCCGAGGCGACGTGTTCAGAGCTGCTGTCGGGCAAACCGCAGGCGTAATGCGGCCGGTCACTTAGTTTACCTGCCGGTCGATCGGTTTACCTGCCTGCCAATCAGTTTACCTGGCCGCCGCGTTTACCTGCGCGCGATACACAGACAGCCGCCACAATCTTCCGTTCTCCGCGTTACACGTCTGCTTAGTGAAGTGACGAGTCAGCAGCCGCAAGCGAAATATTTTTCTTCGTCGCAAGTTGGCGAGGGTGCGCGCGGAGAGGGGGGGGTGTAAGAAGGAGGAGAGGGGGAGAGCCGGAACTCGGGATGTGCGTGGGTGGCTGGACGCGCGCGAGGAGCCGGCACAGTCAGCCTTTCTTCTTCCCGGTTCGGCTCTCATGACGTCGGCGTCTGTGTCCGCGCGGTGGGAGGATCGGGAGGGGGAGAGGGGGAAGGGGGAGGGAGCGCGCCTGGCCAGCAGTAGTATTGACAGCTACGCTTACTTACCTGGCAGCAGTAGGAATTCCTCTCGGCCCGCGCACCGTGCGAATTACAGGGGCCTTTGTTGCGCGCTAACAGTGCCGCTATTCAGCCGGCGGCACGCACAAAGCACGGAGAACAAGGAGGCGAGGGAGGGGAGGGGGCGGCTGCGGTCCGTGCCGCGCCGCCGGGGGAGGCCAGGTAGCAGCGGGTGAATAATGAGTCACGGTGGGGACCGCAAGCCGGAGACCACCTACGCACGTTGACGGCTGTCCGGTCAGAACGCTGCCAAACATTGCCGAACCGTGCCGGACTGGACGACAGTCGGTCGAATAATGAATTCACGTGTATTTATTACTTTTTGGAATTTTGGATTGGTCAAATTATTGGAGTTATATATTTTGTGCTGTTTCTTCTTCTGTTCTATTGGAATTTTGTGAGGGATGGGCGAATTATTGGCGCTGTATTTCTTTGTCATTTTTTCAACGTTTATAGTAAGCTATTTAGTGAAGTAGTAAGACAGTAAAATGGTATGACAGCTAGTGTGTTTATACTGACAGCTTAGAATATGTTTTATGCTTTTATCTCGGTTTCGTGTAGGGGTAGAGTGTGGAGTTGTGTGGTCTCATGTGTATGCAGTATATATATTTACAGAAGGATTTAATCTGTGGTGGAATCGTGTACGCGGGTTGTTTATTATGTCTGGGTATATAACTCAACAGTCTCGGATTGTTCTTCTACCATCATCCGCAGTATAAGCTGTCACAATAAATTGCCAATTATAACCCCCTCCCCCCGCGCTCCCTGCCGCCCAGTAATACCCACGCTGAAATAGCACACCCGCGAAAACCCCGACGCACGAGGAAATCGGTTTTTTAATGGCTTCGTGTAGTAACCAGCGAGAGCGCAAATGTGAACAGCCTTTCTGCAGCCTGTAGGGGGAGGGAGGGGGAGGGGGAGGGGGAGAGACGGCTATTTAAAGGCGATCATTTTTTTAAATAGCTCCATGTGCAAAATGCGTAGCACGCGTTTGATGCTGCCGCTACTGCTGCTGCTGCTGCTGAAGATAATGATGATGATGATGATGATGATAATGATGATGATGATGATGATGATGATGATGATGATGATGATGAGATGAGTGATGATGTGATACATACTACTGCTGAGCTGCTTCTGTCGCGCGGCTGTGGCGGCGGCGGTGGCGGCGGCGTGGTGGTGGTGGTGGTGCTGCTGCTGCTGCTGCTGCTGGTGGTGGGTGGTGGTGGTGGTGTGGGGTGTGGTGGTGTGGTGCTGGTGGTGGTGCTGCTGCTGCTGGCTGCTGGTGGCTGTGGTGTGTTGCTGCTGGTGGTGGTGGTGTGTGTCGCTGCCTGCCGTGCTGCTGGGTGGTGGTGGTGGTGGTGGTGGTGGTGGTGGTGGTGGTGGCAGTCCTGCTACTGGTGCTGGTGATGATGGTGGCGGTAGTTTAATGATGTTGATGATGATGATGCTCGTGATACTGCTGCTGCTACTGTGTGTCAGCTACTGATGAACGCTGAGTCATCGTTTTCCTGCTGCTCCTCGTTCTCCGCGGCAGGGCAGCTCATAGCTTGCCTTGTGTGCGTATGTACAGGAAAGGAGTCGATTGCTCCCCCCAGCTCTCTCGCTCTCTCTGTATCGCTTGCGCCCCCCCCCCATCTCTCCCTCGCTCTCTCTGTATCTCTCGCGTTCTCTCTGGCTCTCTCTCTCTCCCTCTCATCCCCGCGTGGCAGAGTTACGTAATAGCGTCGGCATATTGAGCTGTGCGCGCACTGGAGGGATGGGTCTTATCTACGAGCATTATCAGGCCATTCTTCGCGCTCCGTGGGGTGCGGGGAGGAGCATGAAAAGCGGCCGTTCATTCCTTGATCTCTGCGCCATGACTGACGTGTGTTTATCTCGTGGGCGCTGCATACGCGTGTAAGTGCTGTACCAAGGGTGACCCCCCTCCTTCCACCTACCCTCGCGTCCCCACGTCTCCTACACGAAGCAGCACTTAAATAATTGCTTTTTTGGCTCCATATAGATGCTAAACGGCCTACTTATATGAATGAATATTGCCTTGGCATTACGTTACCAAAACCATTCATACAGTGCAGTGGCTATTCGCCCCCATATATTCAGTTACTAAATGGCTACTTTTATGAACATTCGGCTTGGAATTACGTTCCAAAAACCTTTTAGAACGCCTAGGGGGATATTTTTCTCTTTTTATTTCCCAAGTGGGTACTATTGTATGCCTACAGATTACATTACCAAAACTGTTCAGAGTCCCGCACATATTTGCACTTCTATGTAGTCTATGGTTAGTATTATATACCCGAGAGTAGGATTACATTCCCATAACTATATTCAGAAGTCCAGAAGATATTTCACATAATATCTACTAAATGCATCATTGTACAATAGACATAGACTATGATACTGTTTAACTTAACTTAACTATGGCGCAGCATATCAGCAAAATATATTACCTGCGAACACATAGTACTGTAGTGATCTATTTTAGCTATAGTAAGACGTATGATATTCGTTTATGGCGTGAAGGTTAGAGCTTTTTCCGAGCCTGTGTCCACTTGCTATTCTAGTCCTCCTCCAATTCCACTTCCTCCTCGTTCTTCTTCTCCTCCTCCTCCTCGTCTATTGCTGAGTTCTTCCAGAGTTTGCTTGAGATTATTATGTCAGTAAAATATCTTTTATCTTTTACGAGCTAACTACCCCCGTCTCTTCTTCCTCCTCCGCCTCTGCCTCCTCTTCCTCATCCTCCTCCTCCTCCTCGTCTATTGCTGAGTTCTTCCTGAGAGTTTGCTTGAGATGATTATAAATGTCAGTAAAATATCTTTTAGGAGCTACGACCTACCCCCTCCCTCCCTTCTCCTCCTTCTCTTCACAGAGTTCTTCCAGAATTTGCTTACGATGATTATATCAGTAAAATATCTTTTACAAGTTAAAACTAACTCCCTCCTTCTCTCCTCTCCGCAGAGTTCTTCCAGAATTTGCTTACGATGATTATATCAGTAAAATATCTTTTACAAGTTAAAACTAACTCCCTGCTCTCCGCAGAGTTCTTCCGCAGCCTGCTGAAGACGTCGCGGCAGCACCTGCACGACATGTTTCTGCGCACGTACGGACTCTTCTACCAGGAGCACTCGGACGTGTTCCGCGCGCTCTTCGACGACCTTGACCGCTACTACGCCGGCGACGACCTGAGCCTCGTCGAGGCCGTCGACTCGTTCTTCCGCAGCCTCTACCGGCGCATGTTCATGCTGCTCAACGTGCAGTTTGTGCTCGACGACGCCTACCTCGGCTGCGTCGCGCAGTACCTCGACGAGCTGCAGCCGTTCGGCGACGTGCCGCAGAAGCTGTCCATACAAGTGAAGCGCTCGTTCGTCGCCGCACGCACCTTCGTGCAGGCGCTCGCCGTCGGCCGTGACGTCATCACGGCGGTGTCGGAGGTAAGGCGTCGCTTGTTTTGCTTTGTTTTGTTTGTTGCTGTGTTCATGTGGTTGCTTGTTTGTTTGTCGCCACGCGTTTGCGCGATCTCGTGGGGTCGGCACGAATTTGTCAGATATTGGCAGGCATTCGTTTGTTTATTTATTTGTTTGTTTGTTTGTTTATCAAATTGGGGTGATGGGGTTGTTGCAATGGTAGGTGTGATTTACTGATTTGCTGGATTGATTCACTGACTGACTGATTTAATTGCTCGGTTGTGCGATTAATCACTGTATTTAATTTGATCTGCCGGCTTCCTCAATCATGGCATCCATTCAATCAATATTTACATTTGATCAAAACATAGATTTGATCTCGCTTACTAAAGATGTTTTCTTTCGACAATATATTTGATGATGATGCGATCTAATCTTGCGATTCTCGCTGGGGTTGCAGTTTGATTACTGGTCGGTAGCGTTTGTATGTCATGAAGGGCTTTGCTGTGTAGGGCGGGGTGGGGAGACGTAACGTAACACTTACAGCCGTCTGTGCAGCAGCAGTAGTAGCCGTAGCAGTAGCAGTAGCAGTAGTAGTAGCAGCAGCAGCAGCAGCAGCAGCAGCAGTAGCAGTAGAGAGAGAGAGAGAGAAGAGAGAAAGAGAGAGAGACGAGAGAGAGAGGAAGAGGAGAGAGAGAGAGAAAGAGTAGAGAGAGAGAGAGAGAAGAGAGAGAGAGAGAGAGAGAGAGAGAGAGAGAGAGAGATGAGAAGAGAGAAGAGAGAGAGAGAGAGAGCAGAGAGAAGAAGAGTGTGAGAGGCGAGAAAAACAAGAGTAAGAAGAGAAGCGAAAGAGCGAACAGAGAGTGGAGCGGGAGAAAGAGAGACGAGGACGCGAAAGAGGACAGCCAGCAGAGCAAGAAAGAGAGTGAAAGAGAAGTGCCAGTGTTAGACAAGAACAGCATTTAACATCGGCGCGCGTGGGCATCTGCATGGCACACACGCCGGCGTACACCGATACCGGCGACTTGAGTAGCCGGCAAATCGTCTATTCGTGGTTTCGATCGTGGCAGCCAGCCAAACCGTATTGTGACGCAGCGGTTTTTTCCGCACCCACGCCAGCTGCCGCGCGCTTCAGGGGGGGGGGTGTCAGATGCTCGTTTGATAGGACGGCAGCCTCCGCGCAACACGCATTCCGGCAACATCAGTAGCTTTAACGAAGTGCGGTGATGATTTCAGCAACAGCACAGCAGCAGGGACAGAGAAAAGAGATAGAGAGGGCGGATGGACAGGAGGGAGGGAGGATGAGGGAGGGAGAGCAAGCAGCAGCGATGCAGGGACATGAAGAAAAGAGATAAGAAAGGCGGGATGACAAGGAGGGAGGGAGGGATGGAGGGAGGAGGCAACAGTCAGCAGCACAGGCAGGAAAGAGAACAGAGATAGAGAGGCGGGGATGGAACAGGGAGGGAGGGAGGATGAGAGAGGAAGAGATAGCAACAGCATGAGAGAGAGGGGGATGGAGAGGGATGGAGAGGGAGGGAGGAAAAAGGAAGAGAGAGAGAGGACGAGAGAGAGAGAAAAAAGAGAGAGATAGAGAGAGAGAGAGAGAGAGAAGAGAAGAAGAGAGAGAGAGAGAGAGAGAGAGAGATGAGAAGAGAGAGAGATGATGAGAGAGAGAGGGAGGCGAGAGGAGAGAGAGAGAGAGAGAGAGAGAGAGAGAGAGAGAGAGATAGATGAGAGCGGAGAGAAGAAGACAGCCGCAGCAGCAGCAGCAGTGGAGATGGCAAGAAGCGTAAAAAGACCTTCAAGCCGCAATAACACCGATTTGTTACTAATACGACACTGCGCGCGGAAGAAGCTGTAAAAACTATAAATAGTATTTCGGCAACGAGACCGACAACGGCACCGCTAGACAGATTTAATGCTTTAACGGCTGCTGCTGCTGCTGCTTGCTACTGCTACTGCTACTGCTACTTGCTAACTGCTGCTGCTGCTGCTACTGCACTGCTCTGCTGCTACTGCTACTGCTACTGCGCTCTGCTGCTACATGCAGCTGCTACTAACACTGACTGCTACTGATGCGCTGTTGCTGCTGCTGCTGCTGCTGCTGCGCTGCTGTGCTGGCTGCTGCTGCTGCTAACTGCTATTGCTGCTGCTGCTGCTGCTACTGGCTACTGCTACTGCTCACTGCAGCTTGCTACTCACCACTACTACTGCTACTGCTGCTGCTTTGCTGCTGCTGCTTGGCTACTCTGCTGCTGCTGCTGCGGTGCTGCTGCTGCTGCTGCTGCTGCTGGCTGCTGGTGCTGGCTGCGCCTTTTTTAAAACTTGCTACTGGCTACTGCACTGCTGCTGCTGCTGCTGCCTCGCTGCTGCATGGCTGCTGCGGCTGCTCTCTACTCGCTACTTGCTTACTACTACTGGGCTACTGCTGCTGCGCTAGCTGCTGCTGCATAACTACTAGCACATGCTACCTCT